ACAAAGAAAAAGTGAAATAATTTCTTCTCTCAAACAGTTTATATAAGATTGGGGGAGATACAACATACATGTTGATAAGTAAATGTAAAGTATATAGAGAGTAATTTTACCAGTTGAGGAGAACACTGACACCATGAAGGATCAGAGAAGTCTATTTAGGAGATGACACCTGAAGTGAGCTTTGAAGGCTCTTCATCTTCTATCCTTCCACTCCATAAGCATCTTGCCTTCCTTGGGATAAACGCATCACCTGAAATCTTACCATCATGGAGACTGATCCAGCTTTGATATTCAATACTATCTCAGCACTTTCAGCTACCACTTCCCTGTGATTGGAGGGCTAGAGGACGGAGCAAAAACTCCACAAAAGCCTTACTTTATATAGGGCTCAGAACTTTCCAGCTAAACTCTTCACTTTCCATTAGCTGCTCTGGTTGGTTTGTACTGCACAGACATCATGCCCCCATTCGGGGTACCCTCTTGTACTCCCCCCCAAAACATACACACACATACTTTTCAGTTTCCTTTTATATATTGTCTGTCCTCATTAGTATACAAACTTCTTGAGGGCAGAGACTAACTTTATTTTTCTTGTTTGTATCCCCAGTGCTTGCACAGTGCCTGGCACACAGTAGGCACTTAATAAATGTTTATTGACTATTAAAGGGAGCTAGAAATTCCAAGAGACAGAGGTAAGGAGGAAGAGTATTTAAAATATGGGAGAGTCCATCCAATAGTGTAATGGAAGTAGACCAACTTGGTTGTATTTGAGGTTGAGTACCCTCAACGATGTCTGGTAAGACAAAGGAGTTTGGATTTTACTGTAGAGGAAATAAAGAATCACCAAAGCTTCTTGAGGTGGGGAGTGACATGCCCAGAAGTATGCTTAGGAATACCAATTGGGCAGCTGTGTGGAGGATAGTTTAGAGAGGAGAGAAGGAACTCTCACACATCTATACTCAGCCCTGATCTGTCTTCTGAACTTCAGATCTGCATCTTCAACTTCCTGTTAGACATCTTTACTTGGTTGTCCTGACACTTCAAACCCCAGCACACACAAGGCCAAACTTATCCTCTTTCTGATTAAATGTATCATTACTTTAAACTTCCTATTTCTGTTGAGGCTACTACCATTTTTCCAGTCCCCCCAGTTAATAACCTGAGTCATTTTTAATTCTTCTCTTTCCCTTACCACCCTCATATCCAATCAGTCCCCAATTCCTGCCAATTCTACTTCTGCTGTATTTCTTGCATCCATTTCCTTCTCTCCTTCACTTAGTTACTACCCTAGTTCAAGCCTTCCTACCTGTAACAATCTCCTGATTTGCCTTTACACCTTGATCTTTTCCCATTTAAATCTATCCTTTACAAGGTATTAGGATACCCATTTTGCAGCTAAGCAAACTGACATGTCAAATCATTTGGTCAGAATCACACAACTACTAAGTTTAGGAGGCAGAATTCAGTCTCTCTGTACCATAATCAGTGCAAAAATGAGCTCTTTTGCCACTATACTTTCTAAACAAGTCAAAATATTTATTGCTGAAAAGGATATTATCCAACCCTGTCATTTTACAGGTGCAGAAATTGATGTCAAGAGGGAAGAAGTGACTTTCCCAAGGTCACACACTTATAATTAGAGCAGGAATTCAAACTCAATTCCTCCGACTCCGGAGCCAGTATTCTTGCTCCTATACTGCTAACCATCTACACATAGGAAAGACTACTCTGGCACAATGCCCTAACTTTTCCTATGAGGATGTTAAAAAAAAAAAAAGCAAAAAACTTCAAACTTTGAAATCCTAACACCTTCTGTACATTGATAATTACTGTCAGATGCTATTTGGATTTTGCTGCTCTCCAGAATCTGGAGTTGAGCTCGTATGATTATTTCAAAAATAATTTTCCTAAAGCACAGGTTTAACTGCATCACTACTCTGCTCAGAAACTTTCATGGCTATTTATTGATTGCCTCTAAACTGTAAATGCTTGAGCCTACCTTTTAAGGTCTTCTGCAATCTGGCTCCATATTGTGTTTTCCCATGGATGCGAAGGTCCAGCCAGACTAACCCTGAAATAGACGTGCTGTCTCTTACCTACGTGCATTCACACAGGCTGTTTGCCTATGCCTGGAATGTATTTCCCCTTCATCTCCATTGTCACAGTCATTGCTAAATCCTGCTAGGTGTTTTTGGTAGAGGACTCATTGTTTTTTATCCTTATTCGTTTTGTATTTCTTTCACAGGTCATCCAGTTCTATTGCTGTGCTCCTGACTTCTTGTTAACGTCCTGTACCTGCTCTCCTGGAATAGTGATTTGCTGCTCCTACAGTTTTGTTCTCTATTGGTGGTGTTCTTGTTCAGTCATTTCAGTCATGTCTGACTCCTCATGACCTTGAGTCTGGTCAACATGCATTTATTAAGCACTTATTATGTGCCAGGCACTGTGCTAAGTGCTGGGAATAAAAACACAAAAGAAAAATCCAGGTCTTGTGAATCCTATTTTAATTCTCTTTCTATAGCATTATGGTGGTGCTTTAATCATGTTAATTCTAGGTTCAAAAGCCTGTAATGGTTCCCTTTGCCCACTATGTTGTTGTTGAGTAATTTCAGTCATGTCTGACTCTTGGTGACCCCATTTGGGGTTTTCTTGGCAGAGATGCAGGAGTGGTTTACCATTTCCTTCTCCAGCTCATTTTACAGATGAGGAACTGAGGCAAATAGGATCAAGTGGTTTGCCCAGAGTCAAACAGCTAATATGTGTTTGAGGTTGGATTTGAACTCAGGTCCTCCTGACTCCAGGTCTATCCACTGCACCACCTAGCTGCCCCTTATTCTCCTTAGGATATTTTTACTGGTGTAGTGTGAAATTCTCTGCCTTATTCTTTGCACCTGGTAAAGATCTTTTACCCTGTGCTTTTGCCATGTAAAAATTTTAATCCAGCTCTTTTTAAAAAAAAATGCATTTTATCATTTTATTTAGAATATATTCCAACTAATAATCTTTGTACCTGGATTTTGAACTGCTTTTATGTAGCTCTTAGAACTTTTCCTCTTAATATACGTGCATATTTATATATGATTCTATTTTTATCTAGTCCAAATGGTGATTGCTCATTTTTAATATCTCATTGATGATGAGGAGGAGGATGTTCTTTCAATTCTACCCTAAGCATTTTGGGTACTAAGGGGTACTGATGCGTAGGGCACTGGGCTTGGAGCCAAAGGGACCTGATTTCAGATTTGGACTCAGATACTTTCTTACCTAGACAAGTCACTTGACTTCCGTCTGACTCAGGTTCCTCATCCATAAAATGTAGGTCATAATAGTACCCACCTCCTAGGGTTGTTATGAGGATCAAATAAGATAGTATCTGTAAATTGCCTAGCACAAAACCAGGCATATAGTAGATACTTAATGCATACTGTTCCTTTCCCTTCCTCCTCTCGTACGATGCTCAATATTATTATTAATTAAGCTGTTCTAACTTCTAGATTTTGTTTTTATCATGCCACTTATATAATATGCATTATATGTATTTGTGTATGCCTTATCTTTCCCTAGTGGAATGTAAGGTCCTTGAAGTCAGAAATCATTTTTTAAAAATTTAATTGAATCTTAAAAATTTAACTTAATTTGTATAATCAATACCCAGCACAGTGCCCTCTCCTGCTGCATAGTAAGCGTTTAATATAATTGAATTGAATTTCACTGTCCATCTGTCGCATATGTCTAAGACATGTCTAAGGATATGCTGACTCTAGCAGCTGCTGGCCCAGATGCCACGGCACAGTCTGGGGTACATTATCATACTCATTTGTAGGTATCAATGTGTCAAGATATTCATAGACATATCAGTATACACAGTCAGAATCCCTTTCTCCTTCGCTTAATCCTTGCCTCCCACCACCAAAAAAAAGAAAAAAGTAAGAGATACTTGTCCATAGGTAGTTTTGAGTCGGCTAAAGAGCTCTCAGGAATTATAGCTCTTTTATTTTATTATCATTATTTATTTGATTATGTTGTTGTTTGTTCTTCATTCACGAAGAAGACCATGAACTTGATGTCAACAGACACTAATGTTTCTTTATATAAAAAAAAAAACAAAGGGACCAGAAAAAAAATTTTTTTAAATGAAACTGTGAATCTCTATTAGGTATAGCTGATTGTTCTTTTTAATTAGATGCAGCTGGCCTTGGAGCCAGGAAGACCTGAGTTCAAGTATTACTTCTGATGTGTACTATCTGTGTGACCTTTGGGCAAGCCACTTCTCTATTCTTTAGGTAATCTCTTTAAGCTTGTCCATTTTAGAGATGGTGTTAACTTGGGCTGATGAAGAGGGTTTTCTCATCTGGGAGTTCCTTACACCAGTGAAATCCCTGTTAAATTTCACATAGAGGTTTCAACGCTGCTCTGCTTAAATGAATCTCCTTCTGAACTATTTTCTTCTCTGTTCTGTGGATTAAAAAAAAAGTTACATTGATATTCTTTTCTTCTTTTTAGGGGTCATTATTGTCACTTACCATCTAGACCTTCTCTATTGCTCCATTCCCCCCAAATAAGGCCCTTCCTTGTAATAAATAAGTAATTATTTCCGCATCACGACTTTCCCATCACGGTTTTGATGTATTTTGAATTGGCATGAGAAATTAAATGGAGTGTTTGTTGGAATTTGATGGAACCAGCCTGCAACATGCGAAGACCAGCAAATGACATAGAAAAAGTTTAGATGCTCAGAAATGCATATGTGTTGTAGTACGTAATACCAACATGCTTTATCTTTTGATATCGTAATAATACAGACTTCTTCTCTGGGAAGACCAAAATATTTTACACAGATTTTCCAGATCATGATGGGGGAGGCACCATGCCCCTAATCCCCATGCAATGTAGAAGAGATAACTGTATTGGTGAGTAAAACACTTCCACAATTAACCAGATAACAGATATTTGTGAAGAAGGGAGTCTTTGGATTGAATTTGAATGGAATTATAACTTACTTTTAGTTGTTCACAGGCCAGTCAGGTGTGTCAGGGTTTATCATGGTGCCTTACTTCTCCCTTCTCTGACCTCTACTGGGCTGGTTTCACTCCCGTTAGCTGCAACCCTGGTCAGCATTTAGAGCACGGGAAATACCCTTGGGGCGCAGCATTCCCCTTTATGTCCAGTGTATTCCAGGCCAAGAGTAGAGGCTGAGAATATTCACAAGACAAGTGATCAGACCAGGAAGGGGAAGGTTGCTCAGTATCACACCAAGGTTTTGGTTTCGGTGTGGAAATCCTTGACAAAACCCATGCTGCTATGGCTAGATGAGCATAAACGAACATGACTCAAATTACTTGGCACCATACCTGGTTCCTAGTGCCAAGGGATGGAAAGAGACCTTGCTGTTTGCTTTTGAGCTAATCATATGTGCTCAACTCTAGTTTCTGGAGAGTAGTAAAATCCAAATAACACCTGACGGTAATTACCAATGTACAGAAGGTGTCAGGATTTCATAGGCTTGAAGATTTTTGGGGTTTTTTTTAAAAGCATCCTCATAGGAAAAGTCAGGGCATTTTGCCAGCAACACTTTGAGTCTTTCCTATGTGTAGATGATTCTGAGGTCTAATGGTATAGGAGCGAGAACACAGGCTCTGGAGTCAGAGGAATTAAGTTTGAATTCCTGTTCTGCTATTTATCAGTGTGTGACCATGGGAAAATCACTTCCTCCCCATGGGTCTTCGGTTCTGCATCTGTAAAAGGACAAGTTGGCCATGGTATCAAACTCAAATAGAAGTGGGGACCACTAATCCTTACATAAAGATCACTGTGGGCCACATATTGACTTAGTTTTAAAGGTAATGCTATCTATATTCTGTTGTATTTTTTATTTATTTTGTAAAGTCTTTCCCAATAACATTTGAATCTGGTTTGGGATGCACTCAGGAGTGTTGCAGGCTGCATATTTGACTCCTCTGGACTAGATAAACCCTAAGGTCTTTTTCTGCAATAAATCCACTGACTTATTTAGAAACCACAGTGGCAAAGAGCTCAAGTTTCTGTGCAGATTATAGTAGAAAGGATTTGGAATCAGAAGAATTAACTTTGAATTTTGTCTCCTAAATTTAATAGCTGTGTGATTTTAGCCACATTGTTTGACACCTCTGTCTGCTTAGCTGCAAAATGAATATAATAATGCTTGCATTACCTGATGTGTGTGCTGGAAGCAGCTCAAACTGGGCTGATTGTTAAATTTTCTTGTTGTTATTGTTTGCCCTTTGTCCTTGAAAAGGACCACGACATCAAGAAGGTGATGCCATGACTTGCAAGTGAATTGTATTTAAGTGAGGGGGGGCTGTACAAAGTCACCAGCCTCGTTTTCTCCTCTGGAGCCACCTGGGTCCAGTGGCAAGATATAGATCAGCATGACTGGAGAGGGTTCCCGTTGAATTTTCCGTGTGAGTATTCACACCTCAGAAATTGGCAAACGCTATGTATCAGGGCTTGATTTATTGTTTTCTTGGTTGCCTAGACTTAAAAAAGTGATGGACAAAATGTTAATGATGCAAATTAAACTTAAAAGTGTGTCATAGGTACATTGTTCCCCTTGGAGAACTGCTTGTTAAACATTTACCAGCATGCCTCTGGCAAACTATAAAGTGCTGTACAAATGTGAGGTATTTGTATATCTATGAGGGTCACAGTCATGGCTGCTACATATGCTTTTTTTTTTAATCACGATTTTGAAAAATGAGTAATTCATATGTGTGTGTGTGTGTGTGTGTGTGTGTGTGTTTCCCTGAGGGAGTAGACCTATGTTTTCATTGTCACTGACAGCTCCTGGTAAGGTAACCTCTGCTACTATTGCAGGTTAGCACCAGCTATACTGATGACAGTATTGGAGAATTGCCTGGGATGCACTTAAGTGTTTTGTCTAGGAACGTATAGATAATATATGTCAGAGGCAGTACTTGAATCCAGGTCTTGCTAGCTCAAAGGCCAGCTCTTTAGCTGCTACACAAAGCTGTCTCTGATGTATGATGATATCTTTATTTTCTAGCTGAGGAAGCTGGAGCTTAACTAAATTTCCCAAGATCACCCAAAGGTAAAATGATGTTGATGTTGATGAGGATGAAGATAACTAGCATTATTTAGTACCTAAAATAGGAGAGGCACATACCAAGTACTTTATAAATATTATCTCATTTGATCCTCACAACCACCCTAGGAAGTAAGTACTATTATTATCTTCATTTTACAGTTGACGAAACTGAGCCAGAGAGAGGTTAAGTGACTTGCTTAAGGTCATAGCTAGGTAAGTGTCTGAAATGGGATTTGAACTCAGGTCTTCCAGACTCTGGACCCAGTACTCTATCCACTACACCACTTAGTTGCCTCATTCTAGAAGCGGAGTTGAAACTCAAACTGTGATCTTAGAATATGTTAGGATCGGGGGTAGAATCATAGCTCTAGAGTTGGAAAGGACCTTAGAGGTCATAAGTCTAACCCTTTCATATTACAAATGAGGAATATAATTTCCTCACTTTCCCTAGAAACATCACTCATTTTTCTTTAAGAGTAGATAATTTGGAGAGGCTAGGTGGTGCAGTGGACAGAGCATTGGGCTTAGATCAGCTGGGTAGTCTCATCTTCATGAGTTTGAATATGGCCTCAGACACTTATTAGCTGTGTGACCTTGGGCAAGTCACTTAACCCTGTTTGCCTCAGTTTTTCTCATCCGTAAAATGAGCTGGAGAAGGAAATGGCAAATCACTCTAGTATCTTTACCAAGAAAACCCCAAATGAGGTCATGAAGAATCACACATGACTGAAACAACTGAATAACAACAACAAAAATATAATTTGGAGTTGGAGAATCTGCTGCCACTTATTACCTGTGTAACCTTAGGTCACCCACCCTTTTAGGACTTCAGTTTCCTCATATATTAAATGACGGGGGTTAGACTATATATCCCTTCTGTTTCTGAACATTGATTCTGTTATCCTAAGTGACATGCCCATGATCACCCAGGAAAATAGTCTTCTTCTTTTGAATCCAGCTTTCTTTTCCCACTCCCTTCGCTGATGATAATTGCCCTTTGGTAGCTTGGCCCAGAGGTCAGCACAATCACTCAGTGGGGGATGAAGTGGTGATTGAGAGGGCAATCACTGACCTCCTTTGGACAGGGAGAGCCATCCTTAACTAACAATTTTACCATTCCAAGAACTTGTTTGACAGTCTTTTTAAAGATTTTATAAGGAGAATAGATAACCAGATGTTATTTAAGGGTTCAGTTTCACTTTTTTCAGTAGCACTAGTACAACATAGGGTAACAAAAATGCTATGGAGTTACAAAGGCAATCAAAATGAGATTTTTGTGTGTGTGGATTTTCAAGGAGTGCCCCTCAGCTATTTAAAATAACAGAGTCTGAGAGCCATACATATTATATTTTGATCACAAGGATTTCAATTAGGGTTATTCCAGAAGCTAGTTCTATAATTTGGACGCGCATTTTTAAAATAACTTCTCAATGTGTTTGTAAGCTAGAGGCAATGAGAGTCAGGAGACCTGAGTTGTAGCCCTAGGTCTAAATCTGGCGAATCATTTAGTCTTTCCCTGTGTCTTCTTAAAACTAGGATGTTGGTAGGTGGGTACATTATTAGAGATCTCCAAGTTGCCTTCCCACTCTAGGATTCTGAGATGCTATGATATCATATGTCAGTTTAAGGATCCAACCTATTGTTACGAAAAGTTTTGCATCCAAATTGAATGGATGGGTGGATGAAAGCTAACTAAGTCACTCAGGTTGCTACATTCAAGAGGTCATTTTATTTCCCGTCATTTATATACCTTACAGATGTCAAACATCAGGGCAACTCACACATTTCTGCTGTGATGTTCCTGCTTTGGGATCCATGTTAACCTGCCATTGATGATTATTCCCCTAGAAGCCATCACGCTTGCCCTTTCATCATTAAAATATTATTTTTTGGCAAAGAAAGTTAAATGCAAAAGCCATGCTAATTAGTGATTTCTTTCCAGAGATAACTTGCTCAGGAGGACAGTTTCTTTAGAATACAATTAGGGTTGATGCCAGAACTGTAATCAAAATTGACTGAACTTTCTTCCTTCTCAGAAAATAAGATGCTAACGTTTGGCCCTGAACAGGAGGTTAATACTAAACTGACTGTGGCTTGGGGAAAGTAGCTCCTCCATGGGAATTTGCTAGGAATATCGTGTTCTTTGGAAAGATTGCAAAGAGTGTCATGCTCTTTTGAATAGCACCAATGGGAGAGGGAACTTGTTTTGATGATTTGTGTTCTCCTTGTAAGTTACAGGGGTATTGTGCCATAGTGGAAAGATCTATGGACTTGCAATTAGATCCCAGCTGTGTGACCATTGGAAAGTCACTTCATCTCTCTGGTCCTCAGTTTCCACAGCTATAAAGTGGGGAGAATAACACTTGCACCCTAGGATTGTGGTAAAGGAAATAATTTGTAAGTCTTAATGTGCCCTAGAAGTGTGAGTTCTAATTTGGACTGGTATCCTTCAAAAATTCTATCAATCAGGAGGGAAATTCTCCAGGGAGTTGCAATTTTTGATGGAATAAACCAAAGGTTGGGAAGAATTTTATGTCATCATCCAAATCCTTTTAGTGTGTGTGATATGGTGCCTAGTCCTCCAGGGCCTTGCACACTGTAGGTGCTCAATAAATATTGTTGAATCAATGAATGAATCTCTATGACAGGAAAGAATTCTGAGCTGATACCCTGATTGGATGGGCGAACAGTGACACTGACATAAGTATATATTATTTCTTCTACACATGTCAGAGGAAACATTCCACTGAAAAGAGACTCAAAAACCTTGAGTTCTCCTTCCCAATAACGTAAGTTATTTTACTCTCCATTTCTTCATCTGGCAGTTGGAGACACCAATATTTTCTCTGCCTGCTTCATAGTATTGTTGTCAACAAGTCATGTCAGCAAGCATTTATTAAGTGCTTACTGTATACCAAGCACCATGCTAAGCATAGGAATATTAAATTGTTGTAAATATCAAGTAAGTTAGAAATGGGTTTTGTGTTTTGAAAAAAATATAAATCTTGCTATCTAAATGTATTAATGCTTTGCAAAATGTAAATCCTACTATCTGTTTTGTAAAACTCAGTGAATTCAGGAGCTCAACAGAAACTATTTTATCATTTTGCAGTCTAAATAAATAACCATCACTTTTTTTTTTTT